ATTTCTCTGCCTCAAATGGCTGGCTAGATCGTTTCCAGAAACGGCACAACATATCATGTTCTGTCCTGTCTGGTAAGGGGGCGTCAGTCAACGAGGAGACAATCAACGACTGGTGCAGCCGTCTGGAGAGCATGTGCGAGGGGTACAGTCTCAAAGATATTTTCAATGCACAACGGCATAACATATCCTGTTCTGTCCTGTCTGGTAAGGGGGGCGTCAGTCAACGAGGAGACAATCAACGACTGGTGCAGCCGTCTGGAGAGCATGTGCGAGGGGTACAGTCTCAAAGATATTTTCAATGCCGATGAGACTGGCCTCTTCTATCGTGCTCTCCCAACCCACTCCCAAGTCATTTGCGGCGACAAGTGCCACGGGGGCAAGAATTCAAAGGAGAGGATAACCGTGCTACTTGGCTGCAGTGCGACGGGCGAGAAACTCACCCCCCTCATCATCGGTCGTGCTGCCAATCCTCGATGTTTCCGTGGCTATTCGACGTCTTCACTCTCTGTCACCTACCAAGCCAACAAAGGTGCCTGGATGACGTCCACAATTTTCAAAGACTGTCTCCAAAAACTGAACAACAAAATGACTCTTGAAAAATGTAAAATCATAATGTTTGTTGATAACTATGCTGCTCATCCTGCTATGACTTTGTCAAATGTAAAACTTGTATTTTTGCCCCCAAACACAACAGCTCGTCTACAGCCCTGTGATGGTGGAATCATCAAAGCCGTCAAATCCACCTACAGGAAAAAAACTTCTTCGCCACATCCTCCTTAAATGGATGAGGCTAGCACTGCTGCTGATCTGGCCAGCAAGGTCACAGTGCTGGATGCCATATCTTGGCTGAAGTATGCCTGGGACTGTGTGCAGGCTGAAACCATTCAGAAGTGCTTTGCCACAGCTCCCACGGCCTCTGCTGATGCCACAGAGACGGTTTCCAGCCGAACTGCTGCCACTGCTTCAGGGGTCATCATGGGCAGATTTTGTTGAGTGCGACAACGAGTTCACGGCAACGACAGAGGTGTTTGGTGTCGTGGAAACTGCCCCTGAGGTCAAAGAAGAAACAGAAACAAAAGCCCTAGCAGCTTCTCACATCTCGTCCC